ATCGCCAAATATAGTGTGGATTGTACCCAGGGTGTGACACTCTTTCACCTGCTTGTCCTTCTTTTTGCCTTCCTTCCGAGCTTTCCTAACAAATTCCTTCAGTTTGCCTCTTTGAACAAGGTACTCGATTTCTTTCTTTAACTACCAATAGGCCTTGGTCTCATGACCTACATCCCTATGGAACTTATAATACTTGCTCTTATCTCGGTGACCTGAGGTATCTTCCTTCATCTTCCTAGGGTAATAGAATTGAACTTAATCACCCTGTTCTCTTATCCAAGACAATATTTCTGAGCGGGGTCTGTTCAAAGGGGTGAATTCCCAGTCTTGTTGCAATATGTCATCTCTTGAATATGGCGTCCTAACAGAGTAATTGGTTTGCAGGAGCCGAATGGGCGATTGTCTCCTTACTGGGGAGGGATGTCTTCTGTGTCTATACTTTTCCTCCCTAGGCGATCTACACTGCTGGCCTCATAGGCTTCGTTTAGTTTTATGTATTTGTGAGCTCGCGCCATGAATTCGGCAAAGGTTAGGGGGTCTTAAACTCTCAAATAATTTGTTGTACTTGCAATTCTTTGCCATAACGCTAATAGCCACCTCATCATTCAATTTCTCCACTTGCATCGTCATTCTTTGAAATTTGGAGACATATTGCCTCAGGGTCTCTTCCTCCTCTCTTTTTAAATCTACTAAGTCGAACGATATTTTTCTGGATGGCACATATGTTATGAAACGAGCTCGGAACATTGTGGCCAACTGGGAAAAGGAATGAATTGATCCTGTTTTGAGTGTTTGATACCATTCTTGAGTTGCTCCTTTCAGGATAGTTGGGAAGACCTTACACATTAGATCCTCCGAGTTGGTTTGAAGATACATCATAATTCGAAAGATCGCCAGATGGCTTCGGGGATCGGTAGATCCGTCATATGATTGGAAAGTAGGAAGCTTGAATTTTGGTGGAAAAGCCGTAGCCAAAATATCAGCTAATACTGATGAATCCTATCGAATACCATAATCCCTACTTCTCCCATCTCTCTTCACTCCTGAACCAGTTTCTTGACAACATTCATGGGATTAGCATCGTCCAAGATTGACTGGGTGTAACCTAGCTCTTGGCTGTTGGGGATAGTTGCGCTGGGGTTCACCTCCGAGTAGGAAGCTTGAATTTTGGTGGAAAAGCCGTAGCCAAAATATCAGCTAATACTGATGAATCCTATCGAATACCATAATCCCTACTTCTCCCATCTCTCTTCACTCCTGAACCAGTTTCTTGACAACATTCATGGGATTAGCATCGTCCAAGATTGACTGGGTGTAACCTAGCTCTTGGCTGTTGGGGATAGTTGCGCTGGGGTTCACCTCCGATTCCGTCTCATGGTACCGATCAGATATAGAATGACTTCGGTACTTAGGTGAAGTTGGAGGGATGTTGTGTTCTTAGTGAGGAAGGATTTTCGATCTAGTGGGTGGTATCGGTTCATCGTTAAAGTGTGGGGTCTCCAGGATGCATTTCAATACGGTAGTGAACTAAGAATAAGTTTGGGCCAAAGCAGCCACTACTTGGGGGTCAGTAGTTGGTGGAGGAGCGAATGTGGGTTGTTGGTTGGCCTCCCCATAGGTGTTGTCTTGGCCTTCCATGTTGCGGCGTTCAGTGGAGTCATTAGCCATAAGGATTGAGAAAAAATGTGGATTTTTTTTTTAGAGTTTGAAGGCGTATTCCACTCTTACTGCATCAATTGTTAAGGTCTCAGAAATTGAGTAGTGAATAAATTGTGAATTAACCCCTATTTGGAGTAATTTTGGGGTATATATACCGGATCCAAGATGACTGTGTTAGAATAAGGATTACGAATCTTATAGTATCCATTAGTTAGAGTTTATTTAGGAGTCTAGTATTATTATTTTAATATATTTTATTATTGTATGTTAACAGCACCGATGATTAATATATTAAAACAAATGAATTTATAAGGTCAAAATAAGTTTGTTAAAGTCTGAAAAATATTTTACGGTCTTGAAAATAAAAAGTCATGTTCCTTAAAAATGATTTAATTTTTCTTTGAGCAGAAAAATTATTTTTTGTGACCAGAAAAATTATTTTCTGTTTACTTAATTTGCTGAACGTTCCAAACAACGAAAAATTATAAAAAATATTTTCCTATAAATTATTTTACTAAAAAATATATTCTCAATTAAAACTTATAATATAATAAATAATAATTATATGTAATATTAATATTATAATTTTAATATAACATACTAAATTATAAAAATTTGTTTTATTTTCAATCAATTTGATTTGTTACAATTGCTCTGCTCATTATTGTGCAATATATATGGTTTGATTTTGGCAAAATCTATGACTTATCATACATTAACTAATTATATACTAAATAAATAAAAATTTAGGGTAAAATATACATAGGCAACATATAGACAAAACAAATAAGTAAAATATACAGAGCAAATATATACAATTGGTTGCGAAATATAAACTCTAGATTTAGCAAATTAAATTATTTTTATTTTTTCAATCAATAAAATTAAAATTTTTTAATGATATTTTTGTTTTCGTTTTTATCGATTTCGATATCGATAAAAATTGAATTATTTAATTTGATAAATTTAATGCTACTAGATGGGTTTTTTTTTTTTTTTTTTTTTTTTTTTTTTTTTTTTTTTTTTTTTTTTTTTTTTTTTTGAAAAAGGATTATTAAATGGGTTATTGTGTATCACGATTGTCGCAATTCAACATTTACAATTAAAAATTACTTTTGAATATTTACAATCGGATAATAGAAAATAAAATTTTGAATTAAGTTAATTTTTCTTTTTTGGTTGTAAATGATTTTTTCTGACCGGACCTGTAAGTTGATAATGGACTGTTTGACTCTCCCTATCTTTTTGGTTTTCAGTTATTGTGAAATTTGTGATGACAGTGATGATGAGCAAAGCAAAGGCAATCACTAAAAGGATTCACTGATAGAGACACATGTATTCTACTACTTCTCATTTACATTTTCTACTAATCATTTCTATTTCACTCAAAGATATATCAGCAGAAATTATTGAATATGGTCATTTATCTTTTCTTGAACTTTAACATTTTTATATTAATTATAAATTTAATTCTTTTTATTTTATCAATTATGATCTTGGAATTTAGTTTAAATAAATTTGTATACTGTATTTCTTGAAAAATTCAAATGCTTAAATATTATTCATATAAAAAAAATAAAACATCATCGATTATGTTTGGAGGGACCATACCGCACTCCAAAGAATCGGACATTGAAACAGAGACCATAATTAGACATAGAAACAGTTGCTCTAACTAAACAATGAGCAACCTGATTCGCTGATTTATTACCTCACTCTAAAGAATCAGATATAAAAATAGATGCTCTAGCTAAACAACGAGCAGTCTGATTTGCCAATTTATTAACAAAACAAATGTATAGAGTAGCAATACTTGCAGCAAGTACCCTACAATCAGCAATCAAACCACCCGCATAAGATAAATCCTCATCAGTTCGATTAATAGCTGTATCAGCCATGAGACAATCGCTTTCCACCTCAACCCGTTCATCACCAAAATGCTCTTTGAGCCAGATTAGCACCTCACGTATGCCAATCAACTCAGCAAGGAAAGGACTAACCACCCTGCTCCACTGTCTCAAACCACCTCCCAAGCAACGACCTTGCGTATCTCACACAACCCATCCCGAACCTGCTGTATGAGTATCAGCAGACCAAGCAGCGTCTACGTTAACCTTGACCACGCCTGGTTGAGGGGGACACCACTTAACAGGAAACTGCACCTGTGGACAAGATCTCTTGAAACCAGAACACTGTTTAGCCTGCTGCCATATTTAATTCTATTTTCAATAGGATCAGTTCACAATTGAATCTAATTTTTCCATTATTTTCATATATGTAATAATGAGAAAAAAAAAAACCTCTTGATTTGAGATTTATTGTATTGGAGATCATCGGAGGAGAATTGATGAACAAAATTAGAATGAGCCCTGAGACAATTGATGAAGGCGATGTAAATGAGAAGGGTAATTTTCATTATTAATAAACTTCACTCTTATATTAACACTTTTCAATTCTGAGAATAACATTACGCAAAATTTAATATAAATAATATATAACTAGTCTAGTAGGATTTTTTTTTTTTTTTTTTTTTTTTTTTTTTTTTTTTTTTTTTTTTTTTTTTTTTTTCCTGAAAAAGCTTTTTTTCTGAAAAGCTGTCTCTGCCATGCGGGATTTGTTTGCCAATCTTCTAAAAGCAAACATTTCAATTACAAGCTCTTGCCTATGAAAATCAGCTGTTTCATTTGTAGCTCTATTAACAGCATTTAATTGATATTTTCCAAAATTTTAATCATTATCTAATTAGGATTTTTTTTTTTTTTTTTTTTTTTTTTCTGAAAAAGCTTTTTTTCTGAAGCTGTCTCTGCATGCGGATTTGTTTGCCAATCTTCTAAGCAAACATTTCAATTACAAGCTCTTGCTATGAAATCAGCTGTTTCATTTGTAGCTCTATTAACAGCATTAAATTGATATTTTCCAAAAAATTTTAATCTATCTAATTAGGATTTGAACAGTAAAGCTTGAAAGTTTTTTATTTATGGCATGTATGTACATTAAGAACAAGACAGAAGAGTAAATCATAAGCTCAAGTTTATGACAGATACTATGGTCAAATGGTAAAATCTATAGTATGAATCAATCAATCACAAACTGTCAATAGTCACTTGCTGGCTATTTCTTCTTTCTATATTGGTGCTTCTGCTCTTGTTTCTTAATGAAAATCATGTAGCTAGTAAAGGAACATTTTGTCTTTAAGACAAATTTTACACATTTTAATGACTCCCAAACTGCTTTTTTTCATCATCTAAAATGATATCTTTGTAGAAAAATGATTCCAATCCCGACACAAACCACACTTGTAATCTATTCCAAACAAGACAACATGGGAATTCCTTTATCAATGGAGCACATACTAAAAATATTAGATGCATATAATGAAATTGCTAAATTTACACTTAGAGAAACCTTGGAAGGGATTATATTCTTGACAGTATTAAGAATTTCTCTAATGACAACCTAATCACTAGCACCTGAGCCTAAAATACAAAAATGTTTTGCCTCTAAGCTATTCTAAAGTTGCAGATATTCAGCCGGAATATCAGGACCTGTCTTTACAATAAATATTTTATACGCTCCCACATTCAGAATCATATTAATAGCAAGTTTAACCTCATCCATCATTTTCTATTCAATCAGATCAGGACTGCATGCAAAAGTTCCAAATCTCCTGGAAAGAAACAGCCCTAAAGAAATATCATGCAGGAAGAAAGGCCCCATCTACTAATTTAACAGGAATGAGAAATGGAAAATTGCCTGATTTGCTCATGAGCTGCTAGGTTTTCATCAGCTTGCACAAGCAACAGCTTCTTGGTTTACATTGTTGTGAAATAAGCTTAATTTAGTGATGGCAAGTGCTTCTCCAAAAAGTGATGCCCGTGTTGACTTCAAAATATAAACTTCCACATAATCTCCTACAACTGGGTTTCGCTTGTTACTTGCATCCTCATCTCTATTTGGTATTGGCAGATTGGTGAATGAAACTCTATGGCCTCTATCACTCTTGCCAATAAGTTCAGTGTCAGGAGCTCTTTTGTTAGGCCCTTCTACCAACACAAGCTGGACAGTTCCAATCTGGGAGTCATAACACTTACCAGTGCTCTCGCGGAAAGCCTCGATGAGTTCAGTGAGCCTCCTCTGCTTGACATCATCAGAAACATCATCCACATAATTCCTGTGGGCGTGGGTCTTCTCCCTCATGCTATATGCAAACATGTAAGCCATATCATATCCAACAGCTCGGACAAGACTCAGCGTGTCTTTGTGTTCCTCCTCAGTCTCTCCGCAGAAACCTGTAAAAAAGGAATATTGAGAGGATGACATCAAAATAGAGATCCAACTTTACCTGCATCAAAATATTTGCAAATCTAGAGCAATTGATAAGCAGATAATCAGAAAACCTAAATCAAAATTGACAAACTGACATGTAGATATAAAATCCAGGAGGATTGTCAAGAGAGGATATTTTAGCTTCTAATGGGGCATCAGTTGAGCGAAAGCATGCAACAATATGATACATAAGTAGAGCCACATGCAATAATCCAAGGGAAGAAAAACTACAAGATTCCTGTGGATATGCACATTTCCATGCGAGACAGACAAAATCAATCCAAAATTCCACAGATTATTAAGTTAGGTTCAGTTGACATTAAATATCGAAATATACAACAGTGGTTTCAAGTTGAAGAATCCAAAATCCAAAGTTGAAGTTGATTGTACGATTACTAGATAATTTATTACGTCCTTTGGACTAAGAGAACAGGAAACCATATGGAGGAGGTTCATCTGCATAATAGCCTGCCTTAATTTTTTTCTTTTTTTCAAAGAGAAAATAAAACGTTAGAGTCATTAATAACTTACATTTAATCCATATATAGGAGGATAAACAAGTTAAGTTACTGGTGAGCGACTCGGGCTAAAGTAGCAAAACATTTGAATTCAACTTAGTTTATTTGAGTTGACCGCCAACTCAAGTAGCTCAAATAGTGAGTCGAGCTTAGTTTGAGCATTATAATAATCAACTCAAGTCGCTTGTGAGCCAAATAAAGTATATAAGCATTTATATAATTCAAAACATATCTTATATTATAAAATATTTAAATAATACTATACAATTTGGAGCTCAAACTCAAGCTAATTCAAGTCTAATAAATTTAAATTTTAATACGAATCGAACCAATTTAACCAAGCCCAAGTATTTCAAGTATTCCATTGAGTTGAATTCGAGTAAGAATAATATAACTCCACATGTTTGAGTCAACTATCAAGCCTTCGATTTTCTAATAAAGTGCTCGAGTATTTCACTATATTGACTGAACTGAATTACACACCAAATAAAGTGTGGCAGTAAGCATCAGAATTACTCCTCAAATAAGATATACCAGTAAGCATCACAATGATATGACTCAATACCTTCAGCCTAATATGTAGAAGCTATAATAGTAGATAGAGTATCTAGGGCAAAGAAGCACTAAAAGCACAGTTTCAATTTAAGACCAAATAAACTAAATTTTTAAATATTGGATCTCATACCGCATATGAAATCACTGCTTATACCAATATCTGGCATCATTTTTCTTATCTTTTGCACAAGATCTAAGTATGCTTCTCTAGTATATCCCCGTCGCATTCTCTCAAGAACTGTGCTACTCCCGGTTTGTGCAGGTAAATGAATAGATTTGCAGATATTATATCTGTCTCGCATGACATGCAATAAGTCATCTGGGAAGTCTTTAGGGTGTGGTGATGTGTATCTAAACCGCATCTCAGGAAATTCAATCGAAAGTCGATCCAAGAGATCAGAAAAACGTAGTCCCATCTTTTTTACTTTGCACATGCTGGAAAAGCCTTCACTTAATTTCCAATTTGAACCTGGTTCAACTTCTTTTTCAATACCAGATGCATCATTATAGCTGTTCACATTCTGACCAAGAAGAGTTACCTCTTTCACTCCTCCTTTCCAGAGTTCTGCAACCTCCTTCACTATTGAATCCACAGGACGTGACCGCTCCCTGCCTCTAGTAAAAGGAACAATGCAAAACGAGCACATATTATTGCAACCCCTCATCACTGAGACAAAAGCACTAATTGAATTTTTGGAGATTCGAACTGGACTAATATCTGCATAAGTCTCTTCAAGTGAAAGAAGTGTATTGATCCCTTTTTGCCCATAGTCTACCTCTTCCAGTAATCTTGGCAAATCTCTATAAGCATCAGGTCCACAAACCACATCAACCATTTTATCTGCATCAAGGATCTTGTCCTTTAACCTCTCAGCCATACATCCCAATACAACGACCTTCGGAGGACGAAGAGACTGTGACCTTCCAATTGCAACATTGCTTTTCCAATGTCTCTTTAGAAACCAAAAGTAATTAAGTCTCTGCCACACTTTTTGTTCTGCATTGTCTCTTATAGCACAAGTATTGATAAATATGATCTCAGCATTTTCAGGAACATCCACAACTTCATTATATCCAGCATTCTTCATAATAGATAGGACAATCTCCATATCATTGATATTCATCTGACATCCATAAGTCTCATGATACATGCGTCCCCTTGGAGGAATTTCAGAGTCTGAAGGAAGTTCAAAAGCTGGTACAAGACTAGACAGAAAAGAAAATGAAAAGGTAAGGCATGAGACAATGCACCAATATCCTAAAATGACATTTTGGCCAAAGAACATTGTCCAGAGTATTTCTATCCAGGATAGGGAAAAAAAGATCAAACAAAGTAACCATTAATCAAAATAATTCAGATCATATCATATATGCCAATCAAAACTTTGCTTTAACTTCAATGCACTGTTGATTGATTTCCCATATGAATGCCTGTGAAGGAAAGAATTTCTATGCTATATTCTTTGGAATTTGGATTTGGACTGATATATTGTTTAATGGTATACCATTTAATAGTCCTAGGTGGATATAATGCAGCATGCTCATATCTCTAACAATTCCTAAAATATACATGCCGTATAAGTAATTTGAGAGAATTGAAGATAATAAGATAAAACCAAATATTAAAATTGCTAACAAATGCAATAAATGTTGATATAATATGTAGATTTTTTGGCGCTAGTGTGGCACTTTATTCTGGAGTCAGAGAACTTTTCAACATGACATAGCATATCAACAAAAGATAAACAAATATTCATTGGCTTAATGCAGATATTAGCCCCTGAACTTTTAGGGAAAAACCCATTACACCATGAACTTTTATTGGAACCTATTATATCCTTACCATTTTTTTCTTTTTGGTACCCGATAGACACAAATTTAATAGATTAAAAATCTCTTAGTTTGATTTTCTCAAACCAACAGAAACAGCAGGATATATTGGTTCAATTTACCAAAACATTATGGAACGCAATAAATTAAGATCAAATAGTGTTTAAAATATGGTAATTAAAAAATATTTATAGACTTGGCCAAGGAAAATGTTGTCGGCAGAAGAAATTTCTTTACAGATAGGGAAAGTGGAGGGATGAAGAAATCAGAAAGAGAGAGCACATGGACAATAATTTAAATTAGAGAGATACACAAATCCATTACCAATTTAAAACTGCTCAATGTTGCAGTATTTCCTAAATTTTTATTTTTTTACTTTCTCTATATCGTATCAAATACATGCACACTGCAAATTCGAACAATTTGTGCCTATAGGGTACAAAAGTACAAGGTTAGGAGCAAAAAAGCTTCCAAAAATTGGGGGTTATACATTCTTAGGTCAATATTCATTAAAGCCCAATACAAGGGCTTGTTATAAACAATACCACCAATGTACAAATTAAGTTAGACATATTTGGCAAAATTGGAAGATTGAACTAGAATTGACACATTATACTTCTGCATATTATAGATGATATAGCGTAAAGAAAACATAGAAAACCAAGCCGGACGAATAATTTGAGCTAAGATATGCAACAATGACGCCACATAATTGCAACACTTATCTGCACTTATCTGCATATATTCGACACATATAAGCAGTATTTCAAAATAAGCAGTATTTCAACACCCAAAAGCAAAAAAAAAAAAAACGCACACTTAATATGAGTAGCAAAAAAAATATTAACATCGAACTTTTATCAGCAGCATTAAAAAGCTAAAAAAGAGATTCCACGACAAAATACACGCTTTATCAGAATTCACAAGCAAAAATACTAAAGTTTAGAGAGCCCATATTAGTTTAAGTCGTTCAAATCCCTAAATACGATTCATCCAATTAAACATACATATGCATACAAGTAAGAACTTACTGGGGCTGTGACTGTGTTTCTGAAGCAGGGAGAGAAGCCTGAGCGACAAAATGGTGAAGGCCAGCGCCGTCGGTCTTGTTAAATGCAGAATTGTGAGATTGGGAAAAGTTTCTAGAAAGATTGAGAGAAAAGCTCTTTCTTTTGAGTGTGCGTTGGGGGAAAAGGCCATGGCAGCAGGTATTGGAAGCTAGAGGATTGTTGGAGGAGAGGAATCTGATGCTGGAGAAGAAGCATCGAGTTTTGATTTTGAGAGAATGGTGCGGTTGGTTCAGGATCACTGAAAGAGATGATGGTAGAGAAGACGCCATTAAAGCCTCTGTTTATTTTGTTTCAAATATGTAATTCAATTTGCGCCTGGATGGAATTGTTGGATAGGGATTGCGATTTTCTGCTCCGGTTTGCATTCATTTTAATTTTCAATCGCCTAAGACGCACCGTTTTAAACACTGTGCTTCCTAGGCTGTTGGCTTAATGTACTATTTTGTCCTCATTCAAGTAGCAATTTCATCTTAATTTCACCTTTGGGTCAATAATACCAAGTTTAGTATCAACGAGCATATAACCCGGCACTATTAATTATCATAAATTTTATATTTATAAATATAATTTTAAAATTGTGCCATGATATAATATATTATAACATTTTATAATAAAAGTTAGAAATACTTAATAGAGCATGAATTTTTTCGATGACTAGCACGACTATAATGAAAACATATCTCAAGAATGCTTCATACTCAACCACTTGCAACGTACCAATAATTAGGAATTTAGAAACCAAGGGAGAATTCATGTTAACTAAAATAGCTAACCGAGCGAACTTGCCCTAAGGAGGTGCTCTATATTATAATTCACCTTAATAACATGACCTACCACATCCCCTATAGCACGTAAAACTTTCCTATGATAGAGGTGAAGTGAAAGGTGAAGTGAAAGGCCAGGTAAACGAATCCAAACCACAATCTCCTTTAGCGATAAACTGTGAATATTAAAAGAAAAACTCCATGGCTGCACCACAAGGTAGCTACTAGCCATTATCCAAGGGACATCTAACACTGCTTTATGAAAGTCTTTTGCCAGCTCAAATTTAACTAGAAAATATTCATTCCCCAAGTCTAAAACTTGATGTCCTTTAGGTCTCCATAAAATCTCTAGTTTAGAGCAAAGGGGTTTGTAACTTAGTCTCCTTCCCCATAGATGCACAACAACAGCTCTTGACCATTTTAGAGTAAAATTCTTTTGAAGTTTCCTAGAAATTCTAACCCCAGGCACCGTTCCCGTCCGATCAATTTGGACATCCTCCGAGGAAAGGATATAATTTGAGTCCCCAAGTAGATCATCATCATTATCTACTTCCATAGCCTGAACAATCTTATCTCGAAACGTCTGCGAGAAAGAATTGGGTGATGAGTCAAACCTCTCATCCTTGTTGTTTCCATCGTCCTTATCACGGTGTTTAACCTTCTTCATTGTAGGATCCTCATTAGGGCTATCCCTATTAGAGAATTTCCTCTCACTCATCTTTTTAATTTTCTTAATTTTGTTATTACTGTTTGGACTAATCATACATTGATCGAACTTTTGATTACTCATTAGTAATATTTAGAATTTAAAACCAAATTAAAAATCTCATTTAATTCAATGATTTGACCTATGACTTTAATAAGTCCAATTTGTAAAAAACTTATTAGAGTTGTGTTTTCATAAAACAATTGTAAATGATTCATTGAGGAAATCTTAAAGCATATTATTTTTTTTATGATATTTTTTCATAATCTTCTCACTCAATCTTTTTTTTTCTCTTAATTTTGGTTATTAACTGTTTTGGGGACTAATCATACATTGGATCGAACCTTTTTGATTTACTCATTTTTAGTAAATGATTTAGAATTAAAACCAAATTAAAAATCTCATTTAATTCAATGAAAATCTCATTTAATTCAATGATTTGACCTATGACTTTAATAAGTCCAATTTGTAAAAAACTTATTAGAGTTGTGTTTTCATAAAACAATTGTAAATGATTCATTGAGGAAATCTTAAAGCATATTATTTTTTTTATGATATTTTTTCATAATCTTAGTTTCACGTCGCATTGTATATATTTTCGCCCCCTAAGTTGAAATCCTGGGTCCGTGACTATCTGAACCACCAAAATTCTCTATGCCTGACCTGGACTTGAGAATTTCCCTTTACGAGTAGAGACAAGTGTTGCCAAATCTTGGTAAAATAATGACCGCTTCCTAGAGGATTTGGGAGTTCCATGTACTATAGTGTTCATCTAATGATTTCCCTTGTACAGAACTGATCTTTATCAGCAAACAACATAAGGTTATAAGGTTAGCAATATATAATTATATATATATATATATATATATATATATATATATGATATATAATATATTATTATAATAGTTTTCACCCACAATTTGTAAACGCAAATATATCCCACTCGAAGTTCATTAATGAAGTTACAGTAACAAGAATGAACTATCAAGCACCAAATAATATGGAAACATTGTATATATTATATATATATACTATATATATATAATATATATATATAGTTTCACCACAATTTGTAACCAAATATATCCTAAATGCCACTCGAAGTTCATTAAACTGAAGTTACATAACAAGAATGAACTATCAAGCACCAAAAATAATATGAAACATTAAAAACTGGAACTCTATTTTTTCAGTTTAGCACAAAAAAAAAAAAAAAAGGGAAAGGAAAAGAAAACGTACAAGCAACCAAAATTTATTTCAGTAGCTTAGAGAAAATGGTAACTATTTTTCCTTTAATTTTCTCAGAAAACAAATAGAGTTCTGATGAGATTTCTGGATGGCATTCGCATATGAATTGTACGACATAGATAATGCATATACAACTAAAAATATAGAAAGTGAGGGAGAGTACCTATAACCGCGCATTGGGATTTTTTGTCTTTCCCTCCTAAAAGCTCAGAAGGGAGATCTTCACTAAAATGGAGCCGGAAACCAAAAATTTGAAACCCAAAACCTCGATCTAATGCAATTCAAATTTTAGTAATGGGCTAATGGCTTGATGACGAAAATAGCCTTACATTTCAGTAATGAGCTAAAACCCAGAAGTACCTCAAAACCCATAAGCAAAAGCCCTCATCCACAGCAAAAATCACACTAAATATGAATAGCAATATATTATTGCAATATATTATTAACATTGAACTTGTATTAGTATAATAAGCTAAAAAAGAGCTTCCACAACTACACACATTATCAGAATTAACAAACGAAAATAACTAAAATTTAGAGAGCCCATGTTAATTTAAGTTTGTTCAAATCCCTAGATACAATACATCCAATAAACATACATATACATATAAGTAAGACCTTACTGGGCCGTGACTGTATTTGTGAAGCAGAGAGAGAAGCCTGAGCGAGAAGACGGTGAAGAAGGGCCTAATCCTAATCCTAGTTGATTTAAGAAAAATATTAAAATTTAAGCCTAGTCCTATCAACATAAGGATTTGCCAATTGCCTTTTAATACAAGGATTTACTAATCTTTTAGGATTTTTCTCTGTTTCTATATATATAATATATGATATATATATATATATATATATATAATATATATATAGAGAGAGAGAAGAAAGAAGAGAAAGAGAGAAAGAGAGAGAGAGAGAGAGAGAGAGAACTTTAGATAGAGAAAGGTAGATTCAGTTGCAGAAACCGGTCGTTGCCTCAAAAGCGTGAAATTCAGTCACCCATAAAAGCTCTTGATTTTGCATTCTGGTTCACTTGAATAGGAAGTTGATAAGCGCCATTACCTGTTTTGGCACTTATATAGAGATGCGTGCATAAATGTTTGCAATTCCTTTTCTCTTTGAATCTTGCTACCGTTTCTTTTTTTCAACATTATATTCTAAATAAGAACACAGAATAAGAGAGAATAATGATAATAATGAAGGGAGTGGATTTTTAACTCTTGAAGATTTGAAGGCTAACAATGTGGATATCACTAGAGACATGTCAAAGGTTGATACTTTAGTGTTAATTGCACATGTTGCTTCTATTAAATTGGAGAAAGAGGAAAAGCTTCAAAGGTTGATTAAAGAAAAATCTTTAAAGAGGGTAGCAGATTTTCCAAGAAAAGAAAAAGGTTTCAATACAGATTTCAAGAGACAAAGAAACTCCGAAGGAGCTCATCAAAAGAAAAAGAAGGAGAAAGGAGAAACTAAAACTGAAAGTAAGAAAAGGAAAGTTATACTAAAGAATTCACAACTTGAACTACCTCAAAGATTCAAGAAAAAGATTATAGAGATGAAAGGTAGTGATTGGAAGTTACTAATAGAGAAAAGAATAACAAAAACTGATGCAAGAGATGGTAACAATCGTTTATCAATGCCAAAGAATCAAATTTTATGTAAGCTGTTGAATGAAGTTGAAAGGGATGGGATTAAAAAAATTAGAAGTGAAGATTATTGAGCCTTGCCTTGATGTTAGTGATATGATACTCAAGTAATGGGATTATCCAAAGCAAAATGGGAATACAACTTCATCTTATATGTTTAGAACTTATTGGAATTCTCTTAAGAAAAATAATGGACTCCATCAAGAGGATCTAATTCAAGTCTGGTCTTTTAGAGTTGAAAATAGACTTCATTTTGCTCTTGTAAAGGTCGAGAGAGGAGCAACAAAGAAAGGAGAGGAAGATGAAGAATCTAGTCAGGATCTTGTATCAGTCAATACGAGGATGAGGACGATGATAAAGATTAGATATGTGTTTTTTTTTTTATTTATTTTTTTTGTGTGTAAAGGTTATTTTTGTAGAGAGCAACGAATTCAACAAATTGATTATGTCTACATCAAATTCAGTTAATACTAGTAAAAATTTATAAATTAAACATTATTAACACAAATTTTTAATTTGATTAAACTTCATATAAAAGGTAAACGAATAAATATTATATTTAATTAATAAAATATAAAAGGTAAACGAATAAATATTATATTTAATTAATAAAATATGAAATATAAAAAAAAGCATTTACATATAAATTTTAAGGATCGATTAGGATAAATAAGTATCTAAAATGAATAAAAAATTTAATTAAAATAATTAGTCTTGAACTTTTGTTTGAAACAAAAATACACCAATTTTATTGTTTAATGAATTCATTTAATAAAAATTAATTTAATTAAAAATCTAATTAGAATAATTCAATAGTTGCTGTATCTAGATATACACATGTACTCCATTACCAATTTAATTGTTTCTATTAACTGGGATATTTATACTCCATTAGCGAATATTGTTATGAATTAATCAGTTACATGAATTTTTAATTTTTCAAATTTTATTTATTTAGTCTAATAACACCGAGTAATTGATTATAGGATAATTC